TGATTGGTCTTGGTGATTTATTTTCCTCTTTCACCAATTACAGAGTTCAAACTTTCATTTGTTCTCATGCTACCACTCTTAAAAACCATCGGCCCCAAACCCAAATGCCTGCTGGTCCTTCAGGCCCCTAGCTTATAGAAAGTGGACTGAACCACATTACTTTCTGTCTAAATTTAGAAAATAAATAAGAAAAATAATGAAACAAAAAATAAATAAAATCAACAATTATCAACCTACAGACAAACTCGGTAAATAATACAAAAAAATAGACATTTAAGAATAAAGTAACAAAATTCAAATGGACAAAGAAGTAAAGACAAAATAGCTCCAACAACTTTTATTCCGCCTTTTCTCGCTCTGTATGACATGTTGCCATGGCAACCGACAAACAACAGGTCAAAGAGCAGGTAGAGCAGATATCACCGATCAGGGGAATCAACACCAAAAACAAACATTTCCCAGACAAAAAAGTAGCAAAAACACTAAAACAGAACATCCAGTCTGTTACATTATGCTGTCAGGCTTAATGTCTATATTGTGATTATTAAGTTTTCGCCTGAACACCGCGGTGGTTGATTAGCTGATTTAATTTTATCTCTCGCACTTCCCGCTACTTAGCAGTAGGTGTCAGGTTACATTGTGTTGCATTCAATGTTGTCGGAAAAAGAGTTACATGCCATTAATGTCCGATTTGCCATAACTATTTATTGAATTCATTGTCGCTAGCTGGGGTGGCAACAAGGGTGGCAAGGCTCTCGTTTGGGGTGGCAGCTGCCACCCCATGCCACCCCAGTAGATCCGCCCCTGCTGCTTTTAAACAAACGACGAGATTTCTGGAACCTTCTGGTCCCAAACGCCTCACACCGAAAATGAACGCTGAACCTGAACGCCTCACGCTGAACCTGAACGCCTCACGCTGAACCTGAACGCCTCACGCTGAACCTGAACGCGTCACTCTGAACCTCAACGCCTCACGCCGAACCTGAACGCCTCACGCCGAACCTCAACGCCTCACGCTGAACCTCTCACGCCGAACCTGAACGCCTCACGCCGAACCTGAACACCTCACGCCGAACCTGAACGCCTCACTCTGAACCTGAACGCCTCACGCCGAACCTGAACGCCTCATGCTGAGGGTTCATGGTGACCTTGACCTCCTCTCCTGCCGCTCCGTCCTACAGTCGGCTGACCCAAACTGAGTCAGCAGGAAGTCTGAATGAGAAATAAACAAGGTGTTTCAGTGGCCTAGTCAAAGTCCAGCCCTAAATCTGACTTAAACATGGAAGAATCAATGAGGTGGAAAGAAGGGAAGAGGAAACGAACTCCTGGGATCGCTTCGTTTCAAACGCGGCTCCCAAGCAGCTCCACAGGATGAAAACCTGTTTAGTGGCTTTTCCATCTTCCTGGTTTGTCTCCATTCTTCAGCGCGATGCGTGGCGACGCGGCAGTCAGCTGGGACCGAGGAAATCAGGTCGTCTCCGTCTGCAAAAAGGAAACGGCGAAAGTGAGCTCGCCCTGGAAGGGAAATGCTATTAATACTCCCAATATCTCCCAAAGTCACCAAGTTATGGAGAAGTGGACTGTGTGTTTGCATTAGGCTGACATTGACACAGTTAGGCTGCCCTTTTTATTTCCTTTAAGGAAACGCAGAGCCTGTCGGCGCGGCTTTGGGAATCTGGGCGTTACTTTTCCTCGTGTCACGCTTCATGAGAAGGAGAGTCATTTTCTGCTGCTTTTGTTCGGTTTTACTGAAAACCCAATTCCACTCAACCTCTGGTTGTCGTCAGGATTTCCTCCCAGACATTAAAACATGTCTCTGTTTTAACGAGTTCTTTGACTTTTCAGTGAAGTTCAAGTTCTTATGGATTTATTTGCACTTTTTGTTTGTCGCTGTGGTTTCTCAGTTTTCTGTTTTCTCTTTCTGAAAGTCTGGAGGCAGATTTCTGATATTGGCCTTTATCTCTTTCTCCGTTACATTTGAAATAAGGGAATTTATAATCGTTTGTATGTACTAGTCCTGTCATTCGATTAAAAGGTCATCAGGTTCATCTCTGTGATTAATCACTAAGGTTTAGTTTGTGAGCTGAAGTGTAAAATGCACATTTTTATACAAGTTTAAGAAAATGTTTTATTGTCTCAAACCAAATATTCCAGGTTTACATATTCAGAAAAGTTTAAAAAGTCATTTATTGATAAATGTTAACTTTGAACGGGCTGTGCTTTGAGGAGGGATAATTAACTGTTGCAGTAACGAGGCTACATGCTAGCTGTGTTTTATCCTTTGTTGTTAAAGCAACATTTGCTGCCACGTTATCAGGTGGAGCGTCTTATTTCTCCTCCTGCTTCATCCTGTCATTTTAAATCCTGCTCTGCCAGACAGAACAAGCAGACAGAAAAGCAACGAAAACACAATGAAATGTGTGATTTCCTTTCAGAGCGCTGGCGGACATCCTGAGGCAGCAAGGCCCGGTTTCAGCTTCGCAGTTTGAGCATGAAAACATGGCGGCCATTGATGGTTCTCCCAAAGACGAGACGCCGGTCAGGAGCTCAAAGAACCACTACACTCCGGTCCACACCAAGACGTCCAACCACGGTAGGAAACCAGCAGATTCATCAGGTTCAAACGAGCTGGACGCAGAAATGCACGATAATCTGGTGCTGAAAACTTTACCTGCTTTCTTTTGCTGCATCTTTTCCTACTTTTATTGATTCGTTTCCCTCATTTTCATGGCAATAAATAAGAAATAAATGGTTCTTGGTTCTGCTTTAGTCCACTAATTATCGGTTCTAGGCTGATTTTCCTCCGTTTATCTCGGTGGCTAATAGAATCTCTAGTCTGGAGGTAATTCAGCCATTTTTTCCGTTGTTTCTCTGGTTTTCTCCGGCCGGTCTCCGGATCGGCTCCTGGGATCAGCGGACTTCCTGACTGACCCAGAATGGCGTCCCAGATTCATTATCATCATTCTCCTCATCAGCAGCTGCTTCAAACATTGACCTGATGAGATGATGCAACACAGACCGGGAGCTTTTTAATATGTTTCCACAGCAACATGAATTATTTAACCTGAAACTAAACTGGTTAAACTGGAATGAAGAAAGTAACGTATCCTGCTGCGCTTACGGCAGGTCTTGATTCTCAAATCAGATTTTTAAAAAATGTTTTAATAGAAATCTGTTTTTATTTTCTGCCTGGTTGTTAAATGCGCCGGACATGCGCAGAAGAAGGATGACGTCACTTAGCAGCGCTCCGTTTAGAGGCGACGACGGAGGGAGACACTAATGGGTCAGATTTAAAGTTTATTCAGCAATTTGAGCCGAAAGTGTCGTCACTAAATCTCAACAGGATGAAGGAAGGAAAAGGCTTTGATTGTAACATTTTGGTTATTTCCTTTTTTTCCAAGGATGAAGCCGTTAAAAAAACGGTGCTGATCAGTTTGCTTATACTGTGAGTTATCTTTGGTTACATCAGTTCATGTAAATCTGGAGTTTCTGAAGACAAAACTGAAGAAGAAAGTTCTAGAAATCCTCTGAGCAGCTGGACGTTAGCAGGCGGTGGGTTAGCATCAGAGCTGCACACAGCAGGGGGCCGGACACAACATTTACAGAACAAAACCAGCAAACAGGCAAACACAGAGCCCTGGGGTTATAGTAGTAGTAATAATAATAATAATAATAATGTGTTTATTCTGTTCAGATTTCAGATCAGAGATATGTTATCTAACTAGTTAACCCCAAACGCTCGGCGTGCTTCAGATTAAGACATTAATTCTTTCCCGGGTTTTTATTGCTGTATTTTTTCTAACTCATGTAAAGTAGTAATGTAATTCTTATTAAATGTTACCTTTTAGTCTGATAGCTGAACAACAACAACACCAAAGCAAACTGCAGAGTTTCAGGAGGAAAATGAAACTCCAGCATCTGAAGAATTTACAGCAGAAAAATCCAGAAACTGATTTATAACGAATCATTTTAATTCTTCCTAATCCAACGTTTTGATAAAATGACTGAGCCAAATTCAACAGAAAACCATAAATAAAAATTAATGAAATATTAAAGGAAGAGGATTTTAGAGGATTTTAAAAAGTGCATCTTTCTGTCCTGCTACTGTTGAGACAACAGCAGGCTGACGTAATGAGTGTGTTTGAATCTGAGGTGCTAATGAAGAGACGTGACTCACATCACACATTTTAGCAATTTTATAAACAAAGAACTGATGAAGTGAAGAAATATTTATCACAGCCGACGGGTTTCTCCTGAAACACGAATCGTTTTTTGAGGAAGACTAAAACATAGAATATGAATATTTGGAGACAGAAACTCAATAAATTAGTGCTTTATCTTAAACAGACTCATTCATTCTGAATCAAAGCAAATTCATGACATTTCAAAATATAAAAACTACTACAAGTGACAACTGATCAAATAAGTACATGGAAAATTTTTCTGTTTCTATAAAAAACGCTCGAGTGAGACATGGAAACAGAATAATAACTTCAGGATAAGAAATGATTCACATCTGGGAAATATTTTAAAAATATTTAGTGACAGAGAGAAGTTAGGTCTGCATGTTGGGAGGGAAAGAGACATTGACAAACCATCTTCTCCTCCAGCTGAAAGTGTTTGGTGTATTTTGGGTCGTGTTGCTGCAGGAGGAACTGGAGAACTTCATGAAATATCAGGAGGAAACAACAAAATGTTGAACTATTGAAGCAGCATCTAAAACACCAGCAGGAAGTTAAAGTTTGGGTCCAGATGGAAAATAATCCTCAGCATGGAGAGGCTTCAGGACGTGAAGTCAGGCTTGATGACTGCGGCTTTTAGGAAATAGAAATAAGGTTTGTAATTCTGACGTAAAACAAGTTTGGTCTGATTTGGATCGACGCAGTAACTGTTTTCCATCATGGTTTTTATGAACATTTTGACTTCAGGAAAGGTTGATGGCAAAATTCAAAATGACTTCCTTACTTTTGAAATGCAGTTTTTACAGAAACTGAACCGACGCAGAGATGGAAACAGATTCACTGAAAACGTTCTGATAAAACATTTACCTCCCCTGACTGATCGGCTGTTTCTGCTTTAGAGTCAGATTTCTGTCACCAGAATAATTACAACGTATCTGATGGCACCACGTTCCTGTGCTCCATCCTGGTTTCTACTTCCTGTTTATCTGATGACATCACGCTTTATGTATCCTGGTTGATTCGCGCCAACCTGCAGATGGAAACACATTTTATTTGCTTCTTTATTTTTGTAGCGTTTTAAAAGTTCACTTAAAATCTGCATATAAACTTTTCAGCTGTACTTTTCTGTCACATGGGGCTGAAACCTACAGCTAAATGTTCAAATGAAACATTTAAACATGTTTTATTATTAAAGTAAAAACAGTTGGGAGCCACAGGGTTTGACTTCCTTTCGTCCGTTTTGTTCTTGTTCTGTTTTTGTCTGTTTAAACTTGCGCTCAAAAACAATTAATAAAAAATAACCTCTGAAACTCTCAGGTTTAACCTGCTTACATTATAAACGACCTTTAATAAACTGTCTTTTAACACGAGAAGGCGTTGATCTGCCTGATGCTGATGAAATCCTCCTTCTTCTGTGGTTTGGAGGCAGCGTCCGCTAACGCTCCCAGACTGGGATCCTCCCTGCAGCTCATACTGGTTTCTGTACTGGGATCAGTGGGAGGCGTTCTGCTGGGGTTTCAGACGTTTTGTCTCGTTTCTGGAAGCTGCTGCTCTTACAGTGGATTTTAGTCACTGCTTTGGAAAACCAGCCAGCCGTTTCCTTGGATTTGTTCCCAGATAAAATTCAAAACATCTTCTCTAGAAGCAAAAATGTTCTGCCAAAGCTGAATATCGGGTCACTCTTGCATATTTTCCACCTTCTGTTTCCTAAAGGAAACACAGATTTATCATTAGGAATATGAAATACCAGACGAGTCAGGCCAGAAGCTTATTTTCATGATATGTTTTCTAAGAAGTTTGTTTTCAGTTTCTGGTGACCTGTTGTCACGTGTCGGACCAGGAAACCGTCTGAACGTTTTCCCGAGGAAACATTCGGCGTTCTGCAGCGTCGTTTTCATGACGCGTTCATGTTTCCACCTGGGAATAATTCATGTATTAGGATGAAGTCAACATGATTTCATCTTTCCTTTGAGAATATACACCTGAAGTTGGAAGTGATCAAAATGAAGCTTTTAATGTTTGTTATTATTATTTTTAATTAAAACTTGTGGTGTTGACGGTAATAATTTTTTAATCATGGTCTGTGTTTTATTAAAAACGGTATGAGGGGGGAGGCCGGACGCTCCCAGGCGTTTCCCTCATGGTGGTTTGGATTGCGGTTCGATCCCAGATCCACTGCTCTCAGTGGCTCCTGGTAAACTGGTTAAATCAGACTGGAAAAACTCAACGGTGATTACATGGACCTTCTTGCATTTAAATTTTTTCTCCTCTTTTGGTTTTTAATTTGCTCTCAGGTCCAGATTTATGATCAGCTCTGAGCTGCTTCTGTCCAGGCAGCTCCTTCCAGCCACTCTGTCACTTTCCCTCAGTGCTGTGGAGCAGCAGACACAAAGAAAACCAAAAACAAAAGCTCGCTCTTATTTGTTGGTTTTTAGCCACATTTATTCTTAAAAAAACAGCCGATATATTTCCCTCTCTGAGCTAAAAACTGTTAAACGTCAGAAAAACGCAGGATTGACCGGGAGGAATATGACAGCTCTGAAATATGCTGATTGCATTTCTGGTAATAAATATTGATGATTCAATATTCCCACCTTAGAGTGAATTCATCTGTAGCGCCACGCTAGCCCTGGTTAGCATTCTCATCTGGCTTCCCATTAAACTGCAGGAAGGAATTTAAGACTGTAGCTTTAAAAATAAATAAATCTCATCTGTTACATTCTGATTCTTTAACTTCTCTTTGTTCACCGTTTGATTCTCACCTGTTTGTGAACCAGGAGCTTCGTATCAAACCTCCATTTCCATTTGGATTTCCAGCTCAGGGTGCCATTGGTTTTTGTTTTTGTTTTTTAAATGAAAACCTCAGGGTGTAACAACTCAGGCTTCACTGCTATACATTTCTTTGGTAATGCTGCAAAATATCCAAGCATTATATAACATTGGTTAATCTCATGCTATTTTATGCATACCCCCTGTCTGCCCCGGTGAAGAACTCCCTCACCTCAGCATACTGAATGCTTGCAGTGGCTGACACAGCTCAGTGTTTTCTGATTTATTAATTTATCACTCATGTGATGCTAACTGGCATTAATTCAGCAAATAGAAACTGAACTTTCAACCTGAGACTGTTGGGTTATGAAGTATAAAAAAAAAATGCAGCAGAATAAATCTGAATTTAATGCTCATCTTCCCGTTACTGTTGTAGTCATTGTTATTAATCTCAACCCCAATTCAGACAAAATAATTATTTTAGCATTTTTTAAATATGCAACAGTTAGATATTGTTAAAAAATATTTACATTAACATGCCATAAAATGAAAGCGTAATAATCTGTTGATGTGTTTGTTCCCAGGGCATTATGGGAAGGACACCCTGCGGCCCGGCGGACCGGACATGCATAACTTCATCTCCTCTGGGTTCGTCACTCTGGGCCGGAGCCACCTGAAAGGTAACGCATCCCGACGTTCCTGCTCCACAGCGACTTCCTGTTTGCTTCAGGAACACAAACCGTCCATGTGGCTTTTGTTTTCCATAATGAAACTTGGACATCTCAGTCTGCAGCGGCTTGAAGTGACATCTTGCAAAGTTCTTACACAAACTTCTAAAGACAAAGTAACACGTCCAGTTTGTGGGCCGACAGTGTGAAAGGCAGCAAGGCTGTTTTTATTCTCTTCAGTTTGAATTCACCAGATTTTGTCGGATTGGGAAAAAGTCCTGAACAGGAAACCTGTTTGTGTTTCAACAGCGCAGCAATCCATCGACGAATCGGGTCAGATGTCCTGGCAGGGGGACCTGGACGTCCCCATGTCCTACGGTAGGTCCAAACCGATCCACCTGCACTCTGCTCAGCCCGGCATGGGAGGAGGGGCCACGGGCAGGGGCCCGAAATGTTACACTGGGTCAGGTCCGGCTGCAGGTCTGAGGTCCGGTTGCAGGTCTGAGGTCCGGCTGCAGGTCTGAGGTCCGGCTGCAGGCCCGGCTGCAGGTCTGAGGGCCGGCTTCAGGGCTGAGGTCCGGCTGCAGGTCCGAGGTCCGGCTGCAGGTCCGGCTGCAGGTCTGAGGTCCGGCTGCAGGTCTGAGGTCCGGCTGCAGATCCGGCTGCAGGTCCGTCTGCAGGTCTGAG